AAAGTAAAACAAATGAACGCTAAAGAAAAGTGCTTCTTTTTGATCATCGCTTCTGTTCGCAAAATGGCACTTTTTGATTCATTCGAATAAAAAGTGTTTTTTGGCATAATGTATGGACCATCCAGTATTTTTTTTGCTTAAAGTGCTTAATTTGAAGTATTCTTTAAGGTAAAAAATGAAATAATTCGGTGGGATTCAAACTACGCGATCACCGTCGCTTTGCGTATTTTGCCAACCTTACCAGGTATTCCGGGATAATCTTAGAGCCATCGTTGATGAACTGACCGTTTTCATCATACTTGAGTACCGATAAATTGCCATCAGTTATCTCCAGCTGTTTAATGGCCTCTTCTACTAGATCCACAGACTCTAAAGTGATGGATTTTTCAAGCAATTTATGGCCATCAGTTATTACAAACTAAAAAGATATAAATGCAAAACAGAAATAGTTTTGACGTCAAATTACGTTTATTTTTGCTATCTACTTTTGCACAATGAAATTCTAGGTATGTATTCGCCATCTACTACGACACTTGATTTTCGACAAAAATTTGCGTAGATATAAATATTTCCAAAACACTAAACCAACGAAAAAGTTTACCTTTACATTGTCACCTGCGAAAGTTTCTGCAGTTAAATTTCCGCTTTCGTCATACTCTCTATAGTCTATGTTGCTAGAGCTGCTATAAAAAGCCGTTAGATTCTTGAGGTTGTTTTCATGCCAAAATGGGTACTGTAAAAATATCGCTTTTAATAAAAGCTGAACCAAACGGATACACCAGCACACCTTCGGCCAATGAAGTTCAATCGTTCTGATTTCAACGAGTTTTCCATTTTCCGCATAAACATTTTCACTTCCTATTAGAGTAAAGTTGCGAAACTCTTCAATTTCTATCTAAAGATGTGACAAAGCTTGAGTTAAGTATTCGAAAAATTACCGTGATCAAGACGAGGTAGGTAAGTAAATCATACTTACAAATGTCTTCATGAGATCATTTTTTTCAGGACTTAGTAATGAAAAAAAATCCGCCAATGAGTCCGCAAGGACTAGACTGCTCATTAGAAGGGCGTATAAGCACTTATGCATAAACATCATGAACTTGCTGAGAATGAGAATGAGAATGAGAATGCTCTTGGCTCAGTACTGGACGTTTGTAAATGCTACTATTGATAAAGGCTACTCACAGATCACAGATCGTAACCATCCGATAACCCCATTATGGCATTGTACAAGGTGTATCCGTAAGAACGCTTACAGGATCATTGAAAATTCGTTCTAAAGCGAGTGATTTTGTGTAGAAATCGCATTTAGCACACTTGAATTCAGTTGGGAAACTTGAGTATGAAGAGTTTGAAGGTCGAAATGCCGAAAACTTCTTGAATTCAAGCATTTTTGAGAAAACTGCCAACATTTCCCCATCCATGGTTCACTTTCTAAAAAGGCCATTTATTTCTCTCTAGAAGGATGTACAAATGAGCGTTCTTGCTCATTTTGCTTCCGAGAAATGAGCAAAAACGGGACGAAAAACGTGGAATTTTGGCATACTCTTGCACCAAAGTGTGTGATATTCAAATTTCGCTTTCTGGGTCAAAGCTACGTTGTTACGACTGAATCGACTTTTCAATTCTCTATCCAACGATGCCAAAATGAATTTTAATAAAGGCCATTTAGTTATCTCTGGAATGATGTAAAAACGAGCATTCTTGCTCATTTGGTTTCCGAGAAACATGCAAAACGGGACGGAAAACATGAAATTTTGCAATAATCTTGCGCCACCTTTGCACAAAACGACGATCATTTTTCTAATTTCA